GGGGGGAGGGGGAAGGAGAATGAGGATGATGCATGGTACTTGGTTGTACTGGCTTAATGCCAGCCATGTGATTAGTGACAAAAGGGGCTGAGGGAGCTTCCAACCACATACTGTCTCCAGCAAAAAAAGTTACTCTAGTTCCAGGCTTGTGAGCAGAATTCAAAGTTTATCCATAAGTTACCATAACTGGATTTAATTTTACAGTTGTGCACTTGGTTGCCAAGCATAAATGATTTGGAGTGAGGCTGAAGGTGACCTTGTTTTGTTAGAGATCATTACCTAGTAATTTACATTCAAAAAGCAGCAACGTCTGTATCATTATGATAACAAGTTCACCTTTAGCCTCACTCCTTTGCAAACAAGCACATAGCTATAAAATGGACAATCGAATTCAACATTAAGATGAAGCAAATCAATTAAGGGGACATATTTTTTTCCACCCTACCTTACACTCTAACACAGCTGTGGCTTTTTCAATGTCGGCATCTGTGACTCCTGCATCTGATGCTAACTGAAGGTAGTGATCCCAATACAGCAACACTGACTTGTTTTCTTGCAACTGAAGAATTGAACTGTAGAGGTATATAATACTGTTGCCAATCTCTTCTACCAAGTGTGGAAACAGCTGACTATTCAGCAGTGTTTCAGTTATGATGTGCTGAAGTTCTAGCATTCCCTAAGATTTAACAAAAGTGAACTCACTGAATTAGATAAAAAATTTGAGATTTAGTTTGACATAGAGCAGAAAAAAACTATAATCTGTAACAAAATGGGTGATTTGAGCACATTACATCACACAAAAAACAGTTAACCTACTTGAAATTATTTCTTATCATACACAGCTTCATTTTCTTGATTTGTTAGCAAAACAATGTATACAAAGTAAACTTTTCCTCTACAGGAAAACAACATTCCCTCACTTTTCCCTTCAATGTGCTAACAAAGTACACATGTTCAGGCAGTTTGGACCAGTTGTCAACCAGGCTTTGCAGTCTGTTTATTCTTGACTCCACACATTTCTCTTGTCCTAGCTCCCTAATATGAGAATGAATGTAATTTAGATTGCGTAAATAACTAAATGTAACTTCATTCCATCATTTATAATGGCTTAAGTTGTTCTTTGTAGTGATGTTACAAGAAAAAGAAGTCTTTTTGGTTAGTTGATGTAATGGAAAATTCTCTGACTGTCTGCAGTAAGCTCCATTATCCTTGTTTCTTATGGTTAGTGATACTCAGTTATTGTTTATTTCCTCTAAGCTAACAACAGGAAATTTTGATAATTTTGTTCAAAGTAATCGTTTGATTCTGTTTCCAAAAATCGGCAGAGAAAATGCACATCTACCATCTACCTTAACATGTCTATTTCAGTTTGGTATTCTTGTCTGCTTTGGGAGTCTGCCTTCTTGACAGCTTGGATTACTTGCTCCTTAAGCTCTTGCCGATCATCAGCATTATCAGCATGTGTTCCGACCAGGATGAATGGTGAAGTCGGAGCCTAAAAAAAAAAGGTTCATTTTATCATTTGAAAGTTTCAATTGATGACATAATTTTTAAAATTTTTAAATGCAAAAAGTAACACAAACAATAGTCCATTTTGCAGTTGGTTACCAGGTATTTCAATGGGTCAGTGAGGCTTAAAGGGTGACCTTGTTATGATACAGATGTGGCCGCTCTTCAAATCTAAATCACTTTGTTATCATGCTAACTAGATACCAGTCTCCATCACAACAAGGTCACCTTCAGCCTCACTCCAAATCAAGGGCTTGGCAACTAAGCACACAACTGTAAAATGGCCTATTATCCAAGCTCCAACCTTTGATCGCATGAGTAACATCCAGGATGCAACAGATTCAAGTTTAAATGGATCATGAATGTTAAAGACAATGGTGTACAATGCTTGCTCACAAAGAAAGAGTGGGTGGACTCCTTGAAGACACTGCAAAAAAAAAAAAAAAGACAAAAGGTTCAAATTATTTTAAAATCTTGATAGACCACTTTCATA